CTTAAAAATTGATACTCACAAAATTGCTTTGATGTTGCAATCGCCATCTGATTCCTGCTTGGTGTAACTGACGATGTTTGCCTTCTTTCTAATGTCTTTGACGTAGCCGAGGCAGCAGTTCCCGTACGAGCCTGTAAAGAAAGTTAGAGATTTATAAACAATCGCACTTGAAAATGTCGCTCTTGGGGAAGTTGAGCAATCACTGTGTGTGTGTGTGTAGCTTTCGTTGCCCAAAGCTTATGAAAACAAACGTAACTTTCTCTTTTTAGTCCCGATTTAGTCCTGTGTTATTTGTTGGACTATTTACTAGAACAAAAAAGGAAAATATAACGTCTAAGAATCCATACATCCATGATAAAGAAACTATATAACAGGGCCTTTTGAGGATTTTAACAGATCTGGACCTCGGCCAGCAGTGTCCAGGAGAATTTCCATGTTGCCCAATAAAAGTAGGACAGATCTATTTCAGGAACAAAAACAGAGTTTTTGGCATCAGCGAGTGCATGCCATCTAACTGCCTTTCACGGTCTTATCACCTTATCTTTACCATCGCAGAATGTATTTTCCGCTGGATGAAGCAGCCTTGTGTAAACGCCAAGCCAAAATGCTTATACTGTAATTTATATATATTTAATTTTTATTACATTTCAGTAAAGCTACTTTTTTTGATGTAAAATGAACTGTCATATTTGGCAGAGGCTGCAACTGATTTCACAGCATGCACTAAGAAAAAAAAGAAAGAAAAAGCCAGCTTTTGTTAAGACGAGGAGTCCTTCCAGGATTTGTTAAATGCAGTGGCACATTGGGGTCCAAGAACCCATCAAGGGGAAAAAACGGGCATTCAGTGATTTCAGAAAAAACACAGCATTGAAAATTGGTTGAGAAAAGACTCCAAAAGCCCTAAAACGTGACAGCGGTGGTCTTACATGAAAAACAAAAAGTCTAAAAATACTGGAAATTCAATGACTGCTTTTATATTTTGGCTAAAAAAGTATTAGGATCCTTTTAGATCCTTAGAGTACACAACTACTAAAAAGATCTACACATATAAGTGGATCAAAAGTATTGATTATTTAATGTCTGTACTCCTCTAATTACAGCTGCGTCCAAAAACGACAGTTTCTTAGACATAAACATCCATTATTTTATGAATTTGTTTTATCTTTAACTTTACTTATTCTGTTGCTGCTTAAATCCGAAGCAAGGTCGCCACATGAAGTCAAGATGACAGATTGCGCTTAAAGCGTTGTGGTAAAGGGCTCGGAGCGGAATCATTTATCTCGTTCACTAAAACGTTTTAAAGGAATGCGGCATGGGGAAATGATTAAAACAAGACAGCACATAGAAATGCTCACTTCAACCCGACTATGGGTGCATATTTTTAATGATCCACTTATCACAGATAGTGCTTATCAGCTACTGTAAAAATCTGCATGGTTGCATTTCGGTGCATTCTGCAAACATTCCAAATTTAAACGAAAATATTGCAGTTTGTGACGTGAAACCAGAGCGTTTTCGTTGCGCTTACCTTGTGCGAGACTCAGGTACATGCAGGCGAAGAGCAAAATGAAGACGAGAGCGTGAAACTTCATGGCTGCTGTTGTTCTTCCTGCTGTTGCTGCTGTTCTTGATGTGTTGTTCACTGCACAAACACAAGGAGACAAAGAGCAAAGTCAAACTGAAAGTTGGAGCTAGACTCTATCACTCCCACTGCTTTGTAAATGTTGGGCAAACATTCGGTTGTTTTCCAAACCATATCCCTCCCCTCAAGCTCTTGTGAAAGAATACAGTCGTGTCTTTGACCCCTGTCAGGCTTCCAGCTGCTGACAGATGTTCCTCTTCAAGCACTCTGAGTGATGTTTTGCAAAAAAAGCGGGAGTTACGGCTAGAACCCCTACTCTTCTGTTATCTCTCAGACTGGCTTAACCTCAATACATGTGGAACACATAAAAACATTTCTATAAAATCCAGATTGTGAAAGATCAGCACAAGCTGCTTGTTTTATCAGCCTTCAGACAAACGTACCTGATCACATCCAGTCTTTCAAAAGATGTCCTAGAAGGAAAAATGTTGGTCCATAGCAGCCTGCGCTCTTATATTGCACATCGTGCCCTGCCCTCCCCCAAATGATCTTGTGCCACACCCACTCAGAATTGTCAGCGCTCCAACTTCATCCCTGAATGCCACTTGTTTTGGAGTGGGCAAAGGGAATCTCACGCTCGTCAACACACATGTCAGTACCACCCAGATATTCTGCAATGACAGTTGGTGTTAAGCAACGGACTCACACCCCATGTACAACAATGCCTTTTATGATAATGCATCTCGCGAATCGCCAAACTTCCTCGCAGACAAGGTGTGCCTGACAAAAATGAAGATAAAATTGGAGTTTATCTATTTCAGTCTCACACTGGCTGCGCCGCATGTTTAGGATGGAGTCATGCAGGGGGTCTTGCATGAAAATGATCGCCTTCAAAATTATATGTTTCGAGAACGAGACCAAGGAGAGAGGTTTGGCTTTGGGATTTACAGTTTTTTACACGAACACTGATCCAGTCTCACAGCACTAAAGCTTTCCAGATGTATGACAGCGGCCCAAGTTGGTTTACTGTGTGTTTTCTAATATCAGCTGCAACCATTTACTGTTTATATCACTCCTGAGAAGAGATTCTTTTTGGTGCTACACGAGAAGTTGTCATAAATTTAACCCATCCAGTCCAGATCCTTTATCTCATGCTGGGCTTTTCTGTCTAAAGCCATTTTACCACCTGTGTCCCTTTAAGCCACCGTACTTCTGATTGGCTGCTCTTTGCAACAGACGATTTGAACAGCAGGTGTTTGGGCTCCTGTGCTCTCACTGTTTCATACATGACCATACTACGGAAATCTATTCTAAACAACAACACAGAGAGCCAAGATCAGAAAACCCTTCTAACTGGAGCTCCAGGCTCACAGTGATTACTTGTACACAAGTTGACTTGATTATATGAAACTTTGGCCAAGTATAACATAAGCATCCGCTACTAAACTAGTATATACATGCAAAAGCAAAACATAGCAGGTTCCCTTTGATACATTTTACTTTTCTGCTTTTTGTCAATCTTTATATTACTTTCCAGGAAGGCCTAGATCACACTGCCAGGGATAATATTCTAGTGGTAAATATTTGTGCTCTTGGTTTAAATGTTGGAGCCAAGAAGCAATCATGTAAATACCACCGAGTGGCTAAAACGTGGGAGTTCCCAGCACAAACAAAGAAGATACGAACACACTGTCCATTTTTTGGTACACACTTTTGAAGAATGAGTCCCTCTTGCATCCTCTGACACATGGCTGATACAAACAAGATTCTCAATATGCATCAGATGGCGAACGTCCGGCAGGTCTGTGGCTGCAACATGTGGCTACTTTATAGATTTTACTTCTGAGTCCATCCACTTTCTTAACTGCCTATCCAAGTCAGGATTGCACAGGATTGCAGGGGCCCTGAAGCCTGTTACACCCTGGACAGGTCCTCAGTCCAGAGAGCCAGACAGTTATTCACACCTAACCTAAACCTAACAAACATGCCTTTGGACAGTGGGAGAAACCCGGGGGCTGCTTTCTTAGATACCATATATCTGTATTCAGCAAATATCTGATTGTGAATCAGTCACCTCCAAATATGCAGCTATAAAAGCCCTCGCGTTTCGTGGGGCCTGGAACCCTGCTCATGGGAATTTCCTGGCTTTCATCAAGAACATTTATGAGGTCAGGTTAAAAAGGTCTGAAAACGCTTGGCTCGCAGTCAGAGTTAGATGACATTAGTGTCTACACTCTGGCCAGACTTCTACACCAAAACTGGAAAAAGGATTTAGCTTCATTGACCTCGCTTTGTGCTTGAGGGCTGTGTCATTTCCAACAGGAAGCAGGGCTTTCTCCTGACTTCTTAAAAATAAGCAAACACACACTTTCTAATTTCCTGTATATCACAGTAAAGTAAATGCTTGTACTTTACTCGAGAGGCCAACACTCTCATCTCTAAAAATTGCTGT